GAGAGGAAGGAGGATGAAGCTGCTGTTTGTTCACTTGTTGCATGTAAGATTGTTTTAACATGAAGTAAATGGAAAAAAGTCTGTGCCCATCTTCCAGCTCTGACAGAACAAGACAATAAATTTGAAGTGAGGAAAGTCCCATGAGGCAAACCCATTTTCTCTATGGTATAGAGAAAACAATTGTCACAGATTTTATCCAAGTATAACTGACAGAAAACCCACCAGATAAAACATCTCAGACAGAAAATAAAATTAAAAAAAGCTATTGAACAGCACTGGGAGATGATAAGGGAAGTCCAAAATGGATAACTACAGCTGTCAACCACATATGGTGAGAAAAGAGAAACTGCACCACTTTTTGAGTCACCTTGCAATTTTGGTTTTCCCAGTGATGAATGAAGCAAGCATCCAGTCCTGCAAATCCCATATTTGTGACATTTTATTGTCTGAAGAGAGCAGAGGCAAGTCTTAAACTCAGATACTTTGGAGAGGAACATTCACCAAGTAAACTTCACACCTGATTTAGGAACAAGGTCAATTATACTGTGCCTTTTTAAATTGAGCTAAGCAAGAAATTGAGAATTCTTTGTTGTTAGAAGTGAATACATATTGCATCTGATCCTGCCACCTTTATCTACTCAAAATTTCAGTTGCATATTTAGACCTCAAATCAAAGCTCACTGCACTCCAGGGAAATCTGCCTGATGACTGCAGTTGGCTTTCCATCTTACATTGCACCTCTTCAGCTTCAGGGGGAAGTTTCAAGAAAATATTTTCCTTATTTTTTGGTTAAACTACATAGCTAAGGGCTTGAAGTCTACTGTTGACTTTCCAAATAAGAAAAAATAAAGAATATAGAATAAATCCTTTTGAATAAAGAATTTAATAACAACTCTTGCAAACGCTTCTCTGGTCAGCTGAGGTGTTACAAGCTAAAAATCTGTGTGAAAGCTGTTTTGCTCAGGTATGACTTGACATCTGCTATGGCACAGACATTCAAACCCTTAAATTTGCAGTTGGGGTCTTGCTTACTGGATTTTGTCCTGTATATTTTATATGCCAATCTTCTTATTCTTCTTGCAGGTACTCTTGGATTTCACCATAGGATTTCATGTAGAGGTAATATATATTTCCTTAGAAACTGATTTTCAGATTAAATAAAAAGTAACCCATACAAAAATGAAATGGAAAATATTGAACTAAAACTTTTCTGAACTTGAAGGTTGAAGACATATTTAAATATTAAACAGTTGCAGGTATTAACCTGCTATTTTCTCAAAACAAATTCTCCTGAACCTCAATAAGAATCTCATATGCAGGAATACTTTTAAAATAAACGTGTACAATCTTAGAGTTTGGGATTTGCAGACATATAAAAAAGTACAAGATCTATAAAAATCCCTTTTCTCCTTATGATTGGAAATTCTAAATGTCTGTGTTAATTTAAAATGGATTGAGATTACTGATTGTATGATACTGGAACTCTGTCAAAGGTAAAAGAATGGGATGAAAATGGAATGGTACGATGGAAAACCTTCAGGAGACAAAAACGTGAATGGATCAAATTTGCTGCAGCTTGCAGAGAAGGAGAAGATAATTCTAAGAGGAACCCAATTGCCAGAGTAAGTAGAAAGAGAAACAAAAGTGTTCTCTGATGAAGTTTTTCTTAAAACAGGCTGATAAAAGCAGAGATTTAAAAGTATAATTGCTTGGAGCAGGCAAAGCAAGGAATATACAATAAAAGAAAGGTGACACAATATCTCCACCTCTGCTGAGACAATCTCATAAGGTGAACCCATGTGGCTGCTGAGGAGTGACCAAAGACTTCCTAGAACATTGCAATCACTCTACTTCCTCAACAGCTCCAACCATAGTCTCTTTGTATACAGCATCTGGGTACTAGGTTATGATACTTTTCTCTCCCATCCTGAGAAACTCCTGAGCAGAAGCTCAAGGACAGTGCATAACTAATGTGAACAACAAAGCAAAGATGTTTTCCTGTCTTCCCACCGTGACCATACTCTTACTGAGGTCCAGCCACAGTGGAAACTCTTGGGAGTTTCTCCACTTCCCTTCCAGAAGATTTAAGAGAAATAGAAAGCCTGTCCTGTACTTAATGGGAGATGGATCTCTAGGCTGACTGTTTTGTAGAAGAGCTTCCCTTTTGTTCTGTCAATTGAACCTTGTGATAACTGGTTGAGAAACTGAAATTACAGATAATATTTTGCAGGAACTAATAATAGGAAAAAAATCCCTGGAGGTGTCTTCAGTAAACTGGCATATTATTATTATTTTTATCTCTTATTGTAGATCCGATCAGATTGTGAAGAAAACAATCCAATCACATACAGCATCTCTGGAGTTGGAATTGATAGTGCCCCCTTTGGAATATTTGTTGTTAACCCAAGAACAGGAGAAATTAATATAACATCAATAGTGGATAGAGAATTAACCCCAGTATTTGTTGTAAGTACTCTCCGTTTTCTTTTACCTTTATAATGATGGATCCAGGGTGGGGCAGAGAGAGAGCAGAAGGAGAAAAATTAATTTGTGTCAGATTGTTACTGCACTTACTTCACTTTTGGTTTTAAAACAAGTAAATCTCTTTATCTAGATACGTTGCTTTGCTAAACACTCACTGACGGGGATAGATATGGAACAACCTCTTGAACTTCGAGTCAGAGTTCTGGATATCAATGATAACCCTCCTGTATTTGCACAAACTGTGTTCACAGGATCTGTTGAAGAAAGCAGCATGGACAGTAAGTAACTGTGTTGTGTCTATTATAGTGTAGTTAGTGAAGCTAACATCCCATCATGCAAATTCTTTCAGATGTGAGAATTGATAATAAATCAGTTCATTCCTTCTCATTAAAGAAAGAAAATAACATTACACTTATTTCCTTTGAGAGTATATAAAATAAGTTTCTTCCTATTTTTTCTATTTCAAATATTTGTATTTGTAGCCTCACTAATGCATTTGTGGTAGAATATTACTAAATAAACCCTTTATTATATTACTAAAATGCTTCTTTTTAGCAAAAGTACAGCCAACATCAGACAGGCAAACAGCACTGAGGCAACAGTACCTAATGCTCCTTTTCAACCTCCTAGAAATTCTCCTTTAAAAATGTGGAAATTCCTTATATTAGTATCTATAAATTCAGTATTTACTGTTTTTACATGGTCCTTATGGTGATTTAAAGAAATACAATGAAAATCCTTATTACTCTACCCGACCTTTTATCTTTAATGTATTTTAAAGTCATCAACATTGTCAGAATCAGTACTACAGATTTAATTAATTTAATTAAAAATTAAGCTTTTGTTTTTCTTTGTAATTATCCGTTAATAGATAGAATTCTATCAGTTTCATACACAAAGTTTTAGCATTGTCTTGGTGAGTTGTTTGCAGGAACAAAACAGATTTTCTGATTTAGTTTTTTTTTAATTCTTCCTTTTTTTTTTATTCTTAGACACGCTCGTGATGAAAATAATTGCAACAGATGCAGATGAACCTAATCACTTGAATTCTAAAATTGCCTTCAAGATAGAGAGTCAGGAACCTTCAGGTGCACCCATGTTCATCATGAATAAATATACTGGAGAACTCCATCTTGCAAATTATCTTGACAGAGAGGTAATAGTTCCCTTTCCAAAGTTAAATAACATGATGTTTCTGTCCATGGAGGGGAGGAGGGGGAAGAGAAAGGCTTTAGTTTACAAAAATTAAGGGAGTAATGCATTTTTTCTATATGTTACAATAAAAACTCTATGGCAAATTGCTGCATTAGGAAATACCAGCAAGACCTGACTATTTATGACATTTAAGGTGTGCAGGTGGTCCTTCTAACAGGTTTTGTTTCTCTGTGACAGCAACACAGCAGCTACACTCTGGTTGTGAAGGCGTCAGACCGGGACGGAGCTGCAGATGGAATATCATCCCTTTGCAGCTGCAACGTGAAAGTGCTTGACGTCAACGACAACTTCCCAACTCTTGCTCAGAGCTCTGTAAGTTTATAATGCTTAAAGCAAATTCACTGTTTTAAAACTCTATTGAAAAATCAGTTGATAACGGAGCCCTTATTAACCCATAGTGTGCTTTCATGTCTGAATGGTCCATGGCATTGTTTCCTTGATGTGTGCTCAAAACCCAAGCAATAGTTTGCACAATTCTGATAACATACACACAGATAATTTTTGTATTCAGAGAAGTCAGTCCTGACCCTGACTTCTTTGTGTTCAGAGAAATTCATTCATTCAGGTGTCCAGACCTGTGCAATACATCCAAATAATGTAGATCAACCCAATCTTTGTATGATCTCTTCTTGCAGAAAGCACATATCCATTTCCCCTGTTACCTCTGCAAACCCCTGAGCTGACACAGCATCTTCAGATCTGCAACCAGAACCACAATTTCCCCAGAACACACAATTTTTATTAAATTGGCACGGAGTGTGGGCAGGACATCCTTCCAAAGAACCTCTGCAATCAGCCGTGTTTTCCTCACGTTACATATTTCAGTGTTTGCTAACAGGTATTTATCTGTCATTCCAGTTTTCAGCAAGTATTTCAGAGAATTCACTCAGTTCAGAACTGCTGCGGATACAAGCTCTGGATGCTGACGAAGAGTTTTCAGACAATTGGTTAGCAGAGTTTTACTTTTTATCTGGTAATGAAGATAACTGTTTTGAAATTGTTACAGATCGAGCCACAAATCAAGGAATCCTGAGAGTAATTAAGGTATGGATCAATTTTGTGATTCAGCTGTTGAAATAACCCTCTTAAAATAGTTTTCACTAATTGTTAATAAAAGTAAATGAGCAAAACATTGTCACTCAACCATTTAAAATAGAATATATTTAAATAAAATGAAAGGAACTTTTCTTTACCACCTAGTTCTCTGTGGTTTATCTTTTAGGAACTGAATTATGAACATCTCCAAACTCGCTCACTGCTAATTGGTGTCAGGAACGTGGCTGCTTTCCACCACTCTGTTGCACATGAATATCAAATGTCTGGAACACCCATCACAATAGAAGTAAAAAATGTAATTGAACCCCCAAGATTTCATCCATCTTCAATTGTGTTTTCTGTCCCAGCAAACACAAGAGCGAATTATATTGTGGGAACATACACAGCCACCGATGAGGACACTGGAACTATTGCATCAAATGTTGTGTAAGCTCTGCTTAACTTAACTCCTTGGATGGAATAATTCTTTTAATTGAGATTTCAGTGGAATGAGGAATAGTTATTTTAAAGGGTGCTTTAAAAATACAGTTTCAAGAATAAAGCAATAGGACAGTATATTCTTCAGCTCATTTTAATGCTAGTTTGTTTCCCAACCTACCTTCTTAGCCTTGTGCAAAAGACAAAGAAAATGCTATTTTTTTTCTAACAGACTGTAACTTAAATA